CTCAGGGCCGTGTGCTGTGTTCCTTTAAGGAAGCCCGCCGCCTCGAGTTTGGGTGGGGATGGGGACCCCCTGGACGGGAGCCCCAGGTTCTGCGTCTTCTCTGTCCTTGGAGGCCCTTTCCCGCGAGGGGTCTGATGTCTCCTGTGAGGTGCAGCTGTGTGTCCCGGACACAGCGTCAGCCTCCCTCTCAGGGTCTATGGCCCATAGGAGTCGGTCTGTGTTTAATGCCAAACGCACAATTGGAAAACAAGCAATGGCCCAGCCGGCTGGCTCCGCGGTTGGGCATCGACCTCTGAACCAGGAGGTCCTGGTTCGATTCCCAGTCAGGGCACAGGCCCGGGCTGCGGCTCCATCCCCAGTGAGCGGCGTGCAGGAGGCGGCCGACGCATGATTCTCTCTCGTCGTTGATGTTTCTCTCTCTCCCCCTCTCCCTTCCTCTCTGAAGTCAATACAAATATATTTAAAAATAAAATAAACAAGGAATTTCAAGTTCTAGTTCACGGGATGCTGTTGCTGGCAAGGAGGACCTGGCACGTGACCTGGTCACTCTCACCGAACCCGGGACGGAATATTCCGGACCGAATCGGCAGATGCGCCCAAGTCCTCTTGAGCAGATTAAACCGAATCCCGGGGGTGGGAGGGGGTGCCTGTCCTGAGGGTGAAGAGGAGCGTGGGTGCCTGTCGAGTCCCAGCCTCTCGGGGGAGAGCAGCCTCGCGGGGATGCCTGGGTCCCCGTGTCCTGTGAACACTGCGCAGGTCGCCGTCGGCCACGTGCAGTTCCGGTTCCCGAGCCACAGGAGGCGGCTCCTCGGCTGGTTTGTTTCTCTGTAAATGGGAATCCAGCGGAGACCGAGGTCTAATGTATCTGTAGTTGCATCACTTCTCATTTAAAAACGTTAAAGTGTTAACTCCCGTTCCTGCCCCAACGTGGTGGTGCAGGGCGAGGGGCGCGCTGACCTTCCCAGAGAAGGAGGTGCCGTGTGGGCACCAGAGGGTCTCAGGGGCGCGGGGGACGGGCAGCGGCCGGGGTAGGGCTCCTCACGCTTCCTGGTGTCGGCCTCGCGGTTTCGGGGATGGGGGGGCGGGGGGCTCAGGGCCCAGAGAGCGCGTGCGATGTAACCGGAAAGCCACAAGCACTGTGACCGCATCAACACGGGAGAACATACGTTTGTAACAATTACTGATGATGGTTTTGGAGCCCAAATAACCTCATTCCTTGTTTCCCCTCGTAGGTTCCATAAACGAAAAGTTACCTCAGCGGGAAGGCACGGGGAAAGCAGGTAACTACTTTAAATTTAAAGTGAATTCCCACGGCGGCATCTATTGTATCAGATCCAGCCTGTGCCTTGAACTAACTTCTCAAGTTAACATGCAAATTTGAGCTCGTAACGACCACAAGAGCCAAGGCAGTCTGTTCAATATTCATCCACAGACGTGGAGGCTGGGCATGTGATCTGTCCCCCTGTGCCCCTCTGTGCCCCCCGTGCCCACCTCGGGGCTTTCAGCCTGGCTGGTGCCGGGACCCCGTCGATGGTGGAAGGCACCCCTCCCGAGGCCATGCCCTGGGAGAGGAGTCGCGTTCAGTGTCTGGGCTGTGGCACATGCGATTCTAACGCCTCCTGGCAGGACGGGGTCTGTTATGAAGGGAGATGTGCAGGTTGGCACAGGAGCAAATGCCAGCCTTGCGAGGGGCCCCTCTTCCTCTCGGGGACGCCCCTCGCTGTGCTGGGCGAGCTCAGACCTACGGCCCAGTCACTGGCCCAGGCGGGGACCTGCCCAGGCCTCAGCCACACCCACGACCCTGACCGTCCATCGATTGTCCTCCTCCAAAGCCCTTGCGATGAGCGAAGGCTGTTCTCAGTGTGTCCTTTTAAGGGTTTCATTTAAAACCGCGATTATTGTACAGCAAAGCCACGCGGTGAGCGCAGGGGACTCGCCGGGCTGGCCCTCGGAGCCCACACGTGCCTGTGACGGTCCCTGGGCCTCAGAGCCGTGCGCA